TCCAACCTAAACGATTCTATGATTCTATGATTCTAATCTTACATCATATCTTTTAACCTTACAATTTAAAAAAAAAGACATTTAACATTTATATTGAGGGAACTTTTTGAGATGCCTAGTAGAGAGTGAAATAATTGAAGCAGAGGTAGAGGTGAAGTAAGTAATACTCTTGCAACTGCAAAGTTGTCTTGCAGCCATCTCCAAATATGATCTCATGTGAAGAATTAGTCTGCATATAACAGGATTGTTCAGTGAAAGGGAAACTGTCTCCGATGTACACATGGAGACGTACGCATATCCTAATAGCTTCATTGTATTAACTCCCAAGTGCCCTGTAGATAGTGATAAAGAATTAAATCAAACTAAAGAAATTAGGGATTTTACAAGAAAAAATATTCTGATGTCTGTGCAGTGAAGGTATGAGGACAAGACCATTGTCAGGCTGTACAGTTGTCTGACTGTTGCTATTTTCAGCTAGTCTCTGGAATGAAAAGAAATTGTACCCTTTAAACTCACATTTTAAAAAAATGAAAATGCAGAAAGCTTTTTCTTATCATGTATATTCTATAAAACATTGACTGACAAGCACTCTGTGAAGAGCCTACTAATATAAAAAGCACCAGCTCTGGCTGAGAAACGCCTTTGTTAGGATTGGGAGATATGTAAGATAACTTTCATTTTCCTCTGAGCTTAAGCTCTCTTTGGGCTCAACTTGTCACTTGCTATGTAACTACAAAAGAATCATACATTGCATGTCTGATTACTTGGGGCGTAAGGATGACACAATTGTACGCAGCTCACTCCTTTGGCTACCCAAAAAACTTTGCATGCTATAGTAGCCCTTCAATGATCCTGCTCACTGAAATGGAGGTCAAATTGCTAAAATAACATGGTCTGAGTCCAGGACAGAATCCAGTCCACTGGCTTCGCAGTCATATGTGACCACTACTCTCCTATGTACAATCTCCTATCTCCTATTATTATACAATAATGACTTCTCAAAGGTCCAGATTCTTAACTAGTACAAAACAACATGGTGCCAATGAAGTTACATCAATTTTCTAAATGATCTGGCTAACTATACACAACATTTGCATAAAAAAAAATCATATACTTCTACAGACATAGTCGTCTACGATTCAGTTCTTTTCCTGCTTTCCCATATTCATCCTCACTCCTTGCTCCCAGGTGCTCACATTTTGTCTTGATCGCAAAAACTTCTCATTTCAATTAGAAGAAAAATGCTCATTTGTAAATTTTGGAACATGACAGCATGCAAGAAGAATCAATTCTAAACAACAAAACAATGAGACAAAAGGCAGCTGTTGTACAAACCACTTGTGTCCAAATAAGGATGAAGGCATTTTTTTCCTAGTATCATTCTTATTTGCTTTTCCAAAGGAAGATTTCACCTTTTCATCTTCCTTAGTAAAAATAAAGGGGCAGGTCCCCTTGCGTACTAATGCATATAAACTACTATTTCCTCTTAGCTCTTCCCTTGAAGAATTTTCATTGGTCTTTTTGATTTCAAACAGGACAGTAACAAGACTAATCCACCTTCACTTTCGATAGAGTACCATAGCCCAACACTGCTCCAGGGTGTTTTATGATGAGGTTTTATAAAAACTACACCACGCACATACCTGTTCGGAAGAAGCAGAGACTGACAATAGTTAAGATCTTAAAACAAAACTTCCGTTTCTGTGACTGACAATAAGCAGAGACACAGAGCTGAGGCTTCTGCAGCGGCAGCCCACAAAACAGGTATCCCAACCTCTGTTCACTGCCCAGGACAGTAATGACTGGATAACTTTTTCCAGATGTTTTTACTTATTTAACCATTTCTTTTGCCCAGCCAAGACAGAATTTGGTTTGTAAAGTGAAGGACACAACAAAAGAAGTCATCCTGTTTACCACATGTAATGAATACATGTAAAAGGGGCTGTATTTTAGCTCTACTTAATTTGTTGCATGACTCCCTTGTTGACAGTAGTCCAGAACCTTCAATTCAGTGCAACTGCTTCACACTGAATATTGCTAGAGATGTAATAAAGATCTTGAAGGATTATCCCAGAAGATCATCCCAAGATACCACTCAGAAGCACAGGAAATCTTAAGGATTCAGATAATGCCTCTTCTATCTCTGACAAAAGCAAGTCACAGAAGTTCAATCCAATAGTTGTTTCCGCATTTTTTTATCAACTGTGATGAAAAAAGTCCTCAAAATTCAAGACTGGAGTTACCCTTTTTCAGTATCCAGACTCAGCAGACATGATTTGGAGAGCAACACAAAAGCTCTGCATTGCCTCTGTACCCACTGCCTGATCTGGACTGTGGAAAGATCAACCAAATCCAGCCCAGTGTCATGAGCATTTCACCATTTGGCAGTAGTATCAGTAAACCTATACAATTTCAATATATAAATCTATAAAATTTGTGCAAGGGAATAAATGATTTTTATTATCAGGCACAATAAAAAAGTGGAAGCGACAGAACTCTTCAGTCAGGTAATAGGTACCAAATATGTAACTTTTCGGCACTTGAGCTACTGGCCAACCAACAGAGTTTGATCTCAAGATAATGAAAATGCACTGAAGCTAAATAGAGCACTTGAGTAACATCTAACACAATCAGACAGCCAAAGCATTATAGCCTAAGCTACCATGACCTAGTAAACACATTTATATTCCTTACAGAGAAGTCTCAGAAACTGACAATGCTTGTATTGTTGCAGTTTCAAAAACTATGGGAAGTTAACTAGTTTCCTGACAGACAAGATCACATTGAGTTTCCCATTATGACATAAATTATGAAAAATTTTATTACCATGAAAAAAAATAATTTTGAAAATTAGTAATAGATGCCAGTGAGACCAGTTTTCATTAACTTACTTTTAAAATTGGATATTTGCAGGCAGAAATTTTCAGCCTTGAGTTAGGAAATACAAAGATCACATGAGTGAAATTTAAGGCATACAGGTAGAAGGATGTTGTCTTCTTGCTTCAGACTTAACTTTATCAGACTTAATATCACTAGATCAGGGCTATATTAAGCACTGCAGCTACCAGAAATACTTGTAGAAAGTCATTCATAAGACGCAGCATTTGTGAGTGCACTGACAGACACACAGAATTGGAGAGGTTTCTTCTGAAGAGATAACAAATCTGTACACAGGATTATAAGTAGATAAAGCCAACCCTTCATGTTTAATACCTGTGAAAGAAACAGCTAACAGCCATTTGCATGGTCAGTACTCTATCTGTTCAAAAGAAAAATTGAGCTCTTAGAAGTTTCCACAGTTCTGATTTCTAAGCTGGTTCTTTTTGCTGAGCAATAATTGAGATAATTAGGACGAGAGGAAACAGCCTCAAGATGCATCAGGGGAGGCTTAGATTGAGTATTAGGAAAAATTTCTTCATGGAAAGGGTGGTCAAGCATTGGAACAGGCTGCCCAGATGGAACAGACTGCCCAGAGGGGTGGTGGAGTCACCATCCCTGGAGGTGTTCAAATAGTGGGTAGATGTGGCACTTTGGGACATGGTTTAGTGGGCATGGTGGTGTTGGGATGATGGTTGGACTGATGATCTTAGAGATCCTTTGCAACCTTAATGATTCCTAGTTTTTACTTTCATTAAAAAATAATCCAGCCACCAAGCCAGGAAACATGAAATTACTGCTCTCCCCTTAATTGGTTTAGTGGTGGACTTGGTAGTGTTAGGTTAATGGTTGGACTGGATGATCTTAAGGGTCTTTTCTGACCTAAACGATTCTATGGTTCTATGATTCTATGAGATGGTTTTTCATCAAACCACTGTTAAAATGAACACTGTAGGCAAAAACATATTTAGTTTGGAAATTAATATTATTTTACTGAAGTACAGGCTTCCATTAGGGACATACATGCAGCATGCTCAGAACTTCCTGCTTAGGGCCCATGTTGTGCCAAGGAGAGCAGCAGAAATGGACAAGAGGAGGAAAGAGCATAAACAAGACAAGAAAATTAATTCAGGAAGCTGCTGAAGTTTTGTCTTAGCTTCAGGATTGGGCATAACACTCATTGTTTTCTTAATGCCTTCACATTTTAAGGGTAATATTCTGAGAAAGGTAGTGGTGGGGATGCAAATTACACCTCACCTTGAGGCAGATCACCCCTCTGGAGAATAAAAGGCAGACTTTCACTGTGCTGCATGCAGGAATAAAGCAGCTTTAATGCAACACTTCCATTCAGCTCTGAGGGGAAGTGCTGAATGAGTGCTCTTACCAGATCCTCTTAACAATCTACTTTCCAGGACTGTCTAATGCTTGTCCTTCATTAGAAGATCTCTTGATATAATTTATGAAGTGATAATTTTCAACATCCAAATCTTATTTCCCCTTTCCTCCTCCCAAATTTCCACTGAAGGGTTCTCAAAGACTGAGTCCACCCATTGGTATAATGCCCAATTTTGGAAATCTACGTTTAAAAAGGAGAAGTAAACCCATGTTAAAACATGAAAACAAGGCTTTTTTTTTTTTTTTTTTTTTGCTATGGAACAGTAGAAACAACCTTCTGAACTTCTTCAACCTTTCTCTGTTTAAGGAAAAAATCCAATGAAAATATTTCATATTGGATATAGGTAAGAAAAGTGAAGGAAATTTAAAAGCAAGTAAAAGGAAAAAAATAGGAAGATGAGAAGGATAGAGCCCTTTTACCTATAAGGAACAATCCCTGTATGTGAGGATTGACATCCACTTCCCATCTCAGCATAAGCGAGCACAGTAGTGTGTGTTAAATATCCCACTCAGAAATATGCTAGAATGCTTTGCTCTCAAACTACTTTATTAATGTCACATACTTGGAATAAATAATTAAATTTCGATGGAACTGGGGCTAGAACTAAGGTTTTCTACTTCTCTAATGACTTAACTATTCCACCCTGCAGGGTGAATTTCTCACTATAACTTTTATGAAGCTACCTGACACACACTCCCATATTTTTTTTCCAGCCAAAGCTACTCAGCAAATCTATCCTGAATTCACAAATAGTTTTGCAAGCACCAAAGCTACATCAACCCATCTAATTTACTGCTTGCCAAATCAAATGGCTGGTGCTATTTGCAACTGTATCCACAGTGTTCCCAGAAATCACTGCCAAAAAGATGAGGGAGCTGAAGGAAGCACAACCCAACACCTGTTCTTCATAGGCAACTTTGCTACTTTAACATCACAATTGTAATGAAGATGATCACTTTGGAGCCATTCTGCCTACAGGTTTTGAATTCTGTAAGGAAAAGTAAAGACATACCTTTCCCCTCAGCAGTAACTGCTACCAATTTTTCTGTGACCACAAATAAAAGAAAGAAAAATCCTATTAAGAAGTGTTTTTACTTCTGTCTACAGTTGAAAAATTGTTTTTCTTTCAACAGCTCTCTGCCTCCCTGGAGATTATTATGGGATACTCATCTAAATCACTCGAAAACTCTGCCTCACCCTGGCTGGACCAAGGAACTGAGCCACTATTTTTGTGATTACTGAGGACAGGTTAGCCTCCAGCCAGTGCAATGAAAGCAACTGATGTTTGTACAAGTCTCTTCTAGTTCTCCTTGGGGTAAGCACGTCGACTTTGTAGCTTTTTTGGTTTTATGTTTTTAAGTGTTACTGAAAAATCAGAGAACAAATGAGAGAATATAAAACCTGCACAATCTGAGCACCACTTCTAAACTAAGCCACAGTTAACATTACAGTACTTTCACATCCCATGTGATTTGTAAATCTTAAGGCACATGCACTGCAATTATGACAATACTATCAAAAAATATAACAGCAAAAAGAAATAGCAATATCCACTTTCAGCTCCTAAGCTATCAACATTCTAAGGATAGTAGTAGGAATCTTTATTCAGTTAGGGCAGGACCTGAAAGAACTCAATGGACTATGTATAAAAGAAAAATGTTCTTCTAAAAAATGTTCTTTTCCACAAAAAAGAGTTCATCTACCATGACTGAGGCATATTTTGGAACAAGTGAGATATTTGACTTTATGAAAATCATGAAGAGCATAATCATCTTTGCAGTAAGAATGTTAGACATTCACTGTAGCCGTGAAGCAACTAATAATCAAAGCCTGGAACAAGCTACCAGTGTGATTTTAAAAAATTGAAAGAAAACATGCAATTCTCAGCAAATTAAAAATAATGAAATCCTAACACGCACTAGAATAGGTGAATAATTACATAAGAAAAAATAAAATAAATATTGATCCAAGCTTTAAAAACTCACTAATAAGGTAATTGACAGCATTTTTGTATATATCACAATAACTTTTCTGTTTCAGGCAAATAGGTATTTTCAGAAACACACTATTTCACCTTACGTAGGCAAATACATATTTTGAAAGAGAATATGTGCACAGATAAACACACTGACTCATAGATACATGCATCATTCCTGTTATTGATGTAAATTATATATACTGTATGTTCTGTTCCTTTAAACTCTAGCATGCAGATTATACAATCTGCCCTCAAAATCTACAATCGTTAAACAGCAAATATATAGCTTTATCCAGCTGTTCATTATAAATATACTAGGCACTCTCATACAGCTTATGTAAATATAGACAAAGACATGCTTGTGTTTTCATTTAAAGAACTACAGCTTTTGTAGTTTAATCATTCTTGCTAGCAAGAAACATATACGGGATTGCACCACCCTTCTGCATGGCATCTTATGTAAATGAGTCCAGTGCATTTATAAATATGGATGTGGTAGACCCCCAAACAACACAGTACCTGCTGTCTATCCAACCGCATCCTTTTTGCAGCATTTCTGCTTTCACTCTCACAGGCGGAAGCCAGGATACTCTCTGCAACTGCTGAAGTAAGGTGTGAGGGAATAGGTCGTGACTATGAGAGAAAAAAGAAACACAGAAATTATTTCTAGCATAATCCACGATATCCTTTTTCAAAGCGCACAATACTGTCACCTAGGCAGGAAAGTCCGCTCATTGAAATGTAGTTTATACCAACAAAACAGGGAAATGGAACTTGTAAAGATGAAAAATGGTACTAGTTAGATGTTAAAGCTGCAGCTGATCCATAGATCCATGAGAAGCCCTTTCCCCCCACAGCTCTATTGTCCAGTGTGTGTAGTCTGGCTCATTAAGCTGTACTTTGAACAGACAGTGGCATATTCTCTGCGTTCCAGCAGCACCCTGGCCGTCTGATTCTTGTTAAGAAAACGGAAAGGCTTTTTATCCTGTACAGCATGTGACAGAGATGAGTAGTGTTTTTTTATAGTCGTAAAAAAACAAAACAAAAAACCCCAAGTGATAGGGTTGAAACATCACTCAAAACACAACAGATTGTCAGAACATTTCAGAGCAGTCTCAATCTGTAGTATATGAATATTTGCATTCCTTGCTGCAACATGACTGATGTGATTAAAATGACTTTACAAAAATCTGTTTTTCTTTTGATAATGCCAGCCTTCCAACAATGTAGATATTTTGTGGTTCAACTAGATATGGTTCATTTTTTCCGATTCAAAACCTCTCATTACGAATTTCATAGCATTTACGCGGTTTAGGTTAAAGGTGCAATGAATCCCCAAAAACCAAGGGAATGCTAAAATCCATTGTTGGTTATGAACTCCAATATGGCCTTCCCTACCAGGTCATTAAGAAGAATATTTACACACTTTTTTTTCCTAATTACATGCAAAACAGTCTTTCTGAAAGATGAAGCTCACAACAAAACTAATGTTCTTCATTAATATACAAAGATATATCTGAACTACCAAGAAAATAAAGAAAATGGGGATAACAACACAGATACTGATATACATATAAGCCCATTCCAGAGACTGCAATTTATTGGACTGGTTCTGAACTTCCATAAATTCTCAAAGCTTCATTGAACTCAAAAGTACTATATAAATCTATACCTACTGAGGAACTGGCCATATGTGTGGGGTTTTTTGTTTTTGTTGTTGTTGTTGTTTTTTGGGGGTTGGGGTTTACTTTAGAGAGCTATACCTTCTTACTCCTAAAAGCATAAATACGAACCTGCTATGAAATGTCACTCAGTTTTGGAAGCAAGTTTTGAAATACTCCCATTCAGTTCTTAGACAACCTTAGAATGGATTCATTACATTGGCTCAGCTGATTTTATGGTTTTCACAACATTCCAGAAACTGAGGAGCCAACCATTACTAATATTACATTTTTACCTTTAAAAATTCAAGTCCATTTATTGACTTTGGATGTGCTCCAAATGCCAATTTTTTTATCTGACACCGTACTTTTTCTAATGCATAGGACCACAGCCTGTCTGGAACCAGAAGCTGAACTAGCTTTTAGAAATAGACAGGGATTTATGGGTCTCCCTCACTGGTACAATAGGCTTATTTCTCCCCACTCATCCAAGAGCAAGCTCTCTGGCATCAGTGTAACAGCTGTGTAAGACAGACATCAAAAGCTGCAATCCTGCAATAAAATATACTTGGATTGATTTGACAGACAAACTATTGAACTTCTTTCCAGTTTGCACAGCAATGCATTCCCATGCACTTTTGAAAATAAATCAGTCTAAGAGATGAGAGACACTGATGTTAAACCCTGGTGTCATTACAGAAGTTAACAGTACAGTACAAGCAGACACCTTCCTCAGAGCTCCAGAGGAAGGAGTAAGTCTTTGTGGAAGGTTTTCACTGACAAAGCATTATATTTATTATTCTGCCTTCCTAGAATGGTGATGTTACTCTGAATACATTATTGAATCACTTAGCCACTCTAGTTCCCTCCCTGTATTTGATGGCCAAGTGTCACTGTACCTGCCACTGTTTTATGTATGTTCAAGGTATATTGACTACGTTGGCTGAATGGAAGTCTCAGTGTGGTCCTCTAGCAGTGGCCACACAATGACGTTCTTGAAAAATGGTGAGTAAACACCTGGACAATTCCTCCAGCTCAGGTCTTTAATTAGAGCTATAACCATACCTATACATCAATGGATTTTTATAAGGTGACATGTGAGCCAAAAAATAAATGTTCTGAACAAAAGGTAAAATGAACCCAAGTTCCTCCAGCTTCTTTTTTTATGGGAGAGAATAGGTTTATTGAAGTATTTTACAAAATAAAAAATAGTTACCATAAAAATGAAGCAGTCATGCTTTTCTCTGAAACGGAGTGCAGTGGTTATGTGTTCATTGTTGAAATATTGAACTCAAAATTAGTACCTGCAAAAATGAGGAAATCTCCAGGTAATGGAGTATCTTCCTCTTGAAATACGTGTTAACCCATAATTTCTCTCACTCATCACTGCAGCTGGCTGTTGATATGTTCATGTCAAGAACTATCTAGAGTGAACCTTAGGGAGAATGTAATGAATGCATGGTTGAGTCACCTGGGGAGTAAAATACTATAACAAAGCACAGCAGAAAAATCATCTGATTAAGGTTCAGGTTCTATCAGCTTAACTCAGGCAGAGCACTAGTTTGGCATTGAGTGAGAAGACGAACACAGTCCTCTGTCACTAGCAGCAGAGCTGTTAAAAAGATTTTCTGTTCCATGAAATGCCATATCTGTGAAATGTCAAAAAGATCAATTTTGAAAACCCTTGCCTAAGAGGAAAAAAAATGCTTTGAAATAATAACCACTTTTTAAAAGATGTTTTTAAATAAACTGAATTAATAGTGCCATCTTCTAAGCTCAGAGGCTCCTTCTGGCTTAGCTTAACTTCTTCATCTTCTATACTTCTGATTATTCATGATCTCTGTCATGACTACCAACTATAAAACCATGGCTGTAAGAAGCTCAAGCATCCCAGTCCTTGTGGGGTTCTGAACATTTCTCAACTCCCTATCCGAGGGTGAGACACAAAGGCCTTTGGAAACACAGCGAAAGCAACATCATTCAGTTCTGCAGAAGGGAGCTTGCAGATCTCAGCCAAACCAATGTTTTCTAGGTTCCCAGGATCCCTTCTGCAGAGCTGAGAGCTGAGTGCTGTTCCTGCTACAGCAAGAAATGTGGGAGCCAAGGGGTCCTTATTTCCAAGGGCTCCCAGGCTCCCCCCACAATCCCTGGATCCACAACCTGCCTGCTGGACTAGCAGGAAACCAGGTTTCATTTTACTGGAGTATGTCAAAACAGAAAACCTTTCACAAACTAACATTTCTTAAAGGGGGGAAAAAAAAAGGCATTATCAAAAAAATTCCTGACCAGATTTAGCTGCCAGAATATACCTAGTGTTGTTTGATACATAACATTCACAGCCCCAGTCTGGTATTTCTTCCACTTGACAGTGATGTAAAGCAGGAAATAACTATAATGGAACTACCCATGTGTAAAACAACAGAAAAGAAGCAAGCCTCTAAACTTCAGTCTACTAAAACAAGTGATTCACATGGCAAAATTAGAAGGCAGGATAACATTTTTGTCATTGCAAAACAATGACAGAAAAGAGGCATGTGAAAATTTTATAGTAACTTTCAGGTGAAGAGATGAATAAAATTTTGAGGGAATCTGGTAAACAGCTTAATACAGACCACCTGAGAAGACTATACGCCTCTGTCCATCACACAGCAGCGGCATACATAATTCCTTCGTACTTGCTTGAAAACACCATACTGCTTGCAACTGCACTAAAACAGCAGCCACATTTTGAACACACGTTGTTCTTTGGTTTTGTACATCTCTTCAGCTGACACACAACTAACGTTCAGCCTCTAACATGATGTAGGTGACGAGCATTTTGACAAAAAGTGTAAGAAAAACCTGTTAGATTTCATGTACATGCAGATGCCTGTTTTTAACATCTTCTGAAGTGACTGACGTTCAGGAAGTGGTTGAAATCCCTCAGTAGCCCAAGGGAGATGACCAACCACCTCCAGTCCCCAGTCCTCTCATATTTGTAAATGCATTTCAAGGCAATTTAAACCTGATTCTTGAGACCACCACAGAGCCTGTAGATGACGATGATGACAAAGAAACAAGCACACTTAACCACCATATTGGACAGGAACAATTACATGGTTTTAAGAGACATAATTTTTGAACAAATTGATACGAAGACTTTACACACTCATCCCCTTATCTCTTTCTGGAGAGTGTAGAAATTATTGACAGATATACTTTTGCAGACTTCTTAATGAAAAATCAATTTAGCTGATACTTCTTTGTAGTCAAATAACTGTTGGTCTGCTTTAAAGAAAGAACACCAAAGCTAATGAAGATCCTTCCATGGTTTCGGTGGTCTTTCGATCTGGCTCTCAACAATCAAAGCGTCTTACAACAAGCTCTTATGGAGTAGTCCTGCAAGGTTGCTGATTTTTTAGTAGTTGAAATCAGAAATCCTTGGCCCAGATTCTTTAGAAATTAGCTCTATTAGCATAATCTCTGATTCCTTAACATAAAAGAGACTAGCACTTTCAATATGCTGTAAAATACCCATTTGCAGTTCCCCAACTGTATACAGTATCATCAGGTCTTCTGTTTAAAGTGAGGTACCTTTGTGGTATCTTCATGGGAAACATAAAATATCCTTTTTGGCATATTCACACAGTTCCTATATTTCTATATGGAATCTAAAAACCGTCTATGTTCTAATTTCAAATGTCCATTTTTGATATAAATCTGCCAATTATTGATATAATAATGGATTATATTTCAGTCTAAACCACTAGGAGCAGTATATTCACCAAAAAGAAGTTTGCTGTCTGCGGTATGTGCTGTCCTCCTGTGGTTAGAGATCTGTTGTCTCTAAAGTTACTACCTTGGCATTTTTTGTGAGATCCAGTATTTACTTATAAATAAAAGCCAAAGTAGTCATACAGAAGCTTGGTCTAGATACTCTTACACATGTTACACCAGTCTCAGTTCTGAAAAAATACAGCTATCTATTATGTC